TTACCAACGGGGTGCATAGAAACATAGTAACACAGCGTTTTGGCTATCCGGAGGCTGAAAACGTTGTGTTTTACAAGGTTTTGCTGCCTACCGATGCTGCAGACCTTGTAAAACATAGTGTTTTGGACCTCCGGTGGCCGAAAACGTTGTGTTTTTGTATGTTTTTGCAGCGCGAGCACCGAGAACATTGAAAACATAGCAATTATCGAAATTTCCTTTGAATTTTGATGTTTTTGTTTCTGGGGTTTCCTCTTAAGTACCTCTGTGGTACTGGGGCCTGTAGTGCTGGGGCTGTAGTATTGAGGATGTACTACTGGGGCTGTAGGACTGGGGCGGTAGTAGTGGGGCTGACGCACCCCTTAAGGGTTTTCTTTTTGGATTCATGTTGCTAGAAAGGGGGAGGTTTTGTGCATATTTCGTTAATTTTGTGCGCGGGATGGTTGCCATCAGAAACGTATCGGATGAAAAACGTAGCCCTCCATTTCGTGGGGCGGACGCACCCCTTGAGGGCTTTCTTTTTGGATTCATGTTGTTAAGAAGGGGAAGTCATGTTTATTTGTTTCGTTAATTTTGGGCGCGGGGTGCTTGCCATCAGAAACGAAATGTAACGGATGAAAAACGTAGCCCTTCATTTCATTTTTGGTAAAGAGCTTAATCCACGGCGAACAAACAATGCGTTTAATGCACTCTGCGAATTAGCATTTCCCAAATGTCTGTTTCTGTATGACGTTGGCATTTTCACGATGGATGTCCATCCACGAACTCTATAGGGCCGGTTTTTCGGGTGCCTTCCCGGTGCTCTTTCCAGGACGACTACCAGGACAGCCCTACCAACAACTACCAAAGAACACGGTACAATATCAGCGCAGGTTGAAGAGTAACGATGGATGTTGGAAGCAAAACTCAAAGGGGCATCCAATGTTGGATACCCCCCCTGTCGCGTTCGTCTTTACGCGGGAATGAATTTGGCAAGCATTTCGAAACAAACAAAATGCGCGAACACATTGTTTTAAAAAGACGGAGGGGGGGAGGAGCAAACCAAGGGGACAAAACAAAAGGAGCATCAATGTTTAGATGCTTCCGCCCCCTCTGTTGCGTATGTGTTGTTTCCCGTGCGTCTTTGCAGCCAAAATCGCGTTTGGGGCGCGTGTTTTCCAATTCCCCATCAGATCTTGCAAGGTCCTTGGCGATCTCCGCATCGCAACAGCCCATCCTGGAACGATGCTCGAGCGAGTTGCTTTGTTGAAGGGAAGCGTCAGACGTCAGTTTTCGGTCTGCCTGAAGAAGCCCAACGATAACGTGCGTAAGTGCCGTCGCAGCCAGTGGGGCGAGGAGGCAAGTAAGGGGAGTGACAATGACGACACACGAAAAGTATAGGTTGAAGAACAACGATGCGTGTTGCTGGCAAGACAAAAGGGCATCCAATTTTGGATACTCCTGCGAGTTGCCTTGATCTCGCACAAGGGTCCGAACTAAGTTTTTTGTTCAAATTGAGCAGACTCGGAGAAAGAGGAGGAGGAGGAGGAGGAGGAGGATAATGATCAGGAGGAAAGGAGGAGGAAGAGAGGGGGAAGAGGGCGAGGGAGGAGACGGGAGAAAGGAGGTCTTGGGTGAGCCCTGGGTGAGCTTTGTGTGCGAGGAGGTGCGCAATCCCTCTACGCTGAACCGTTCAAGAATGCTGCTGTTGCGGTTGAAGTGCATCGCTGTGTTCGCTCCGTCGGCCGACTGGCACCATGGGGTTCCGGAGTGCGACTCAGAATCGCACGACAAGAATATTATTTGGAACCAGAAATACAAAGAGAAAACACAGCATGACAGATTGCAACGATAAAGTTTAGTAAAGCAAACATGTTCTGTTGTTGACGAAACGCAGATTTTCATCAAACGGTTTGTAAGTTAAGTTCTGTGTAATTTCATCACATGCAACATCCAAAGGAGAAGTGTGCAAACAAGCCGACCGTCAAGTTTTGGATCGGCAGCATTTTGGACGACGTCGAGAAGAAGTTGGACGCAAAAGCCCAGAAGCACAACGAAACGATGCGCGTTTTGCAGACCGCCATCAGCAAAAACCAGGCGCTGGAGTCGTCCAATTCAAAAAAAAATGGCGGCATCGCGGACCTGGAAAAACACAATGCGCAGTTGATTGAGTGCGGGTTCTGGCACAAGAAAGAGAAAACCAAGATGAAGAGGGACCTCAAAACCATGACGGAGAAGAAAGAGTCCATCGAGAGCAACCACAACGAGCCAAAACTTCGCATCCAGATGCGATCTAACCCTCGCGTAGTCGAGGCTGAATTGCCGCGGAGCGCAAAGCGCTTGCGCAAGCACTTGCGTTCCAGGGAAGACAACCAATATTCAATCTAAGCGTTCGCATGTGCAACAAGTCGCTCTGTTCCAGTTTCGCCGTCGTTGCATCGTCGTCATCGCCGCCGCCGTATCGATGGCTTCGATGCACGGATCGTTTCACCAGGCATCAAGTCGTTGTGATTTTTTGAGCGCGACCGCGATTCCACAAGAACGTACCTTGCGATAGTATGAAAACACACATGACGCATACGCGGTCTTGTCAATTCCCCCCCCTCCCCGCCCATGGAGTGGATCTTGGCTGTTTTGGGCGCCCGTTTCAAGCGGGTGGGGCCTCCCCCGCAGGTTGCAAACAGTCGCATTCTGCAGTGGTCCGGAGCCAGACCCCCCCCTTTCCCCCCCCCCTTTTCGCCCAATGTCGAAACGTCAAATAAGAACGCTCGCCTGCTTGAACTTTATAGCCTGCCTTCTCGCATGTCTTCTTGCTCGAAGGCCAGAGGGGGGCAGGGCTGGACCTCGACGCTGTTTTGCTGGACTTTGGCTGTATTGCGTTTTTCTCTTGGGGGGGGCGCAGGAAAAAAGGGTGGAGCAAAACGAAAAACATAACGAAACCGAGACGAGAAATAACGTTTAGGTCCAGTCCTGGAGGGGAGTTCCTCTTCAACGTGGGGTTCCCTCCCGACTTGCAGGCCCATGGGGCGGCCGTTTTTTCTGAGTGTTGTGGCCCTGGTGAGGGCGTGTCGAGGCAGAAAACACCGCGAAGTTTATTCGTCTTCTGCATTCATTGGACGGCCCTGAAGCGCCCGAATACAGTGCTGGACCTAAACGCTGTTTTGTTGGAGTTCGGCTGTGTTCTGTCTTTCGTTTTGGCAGGGGGGTGCAGGACAACAGGTCTAGCAAAACGAACAACAAATTACTCACTGCGTGGAGCTCCCCATATGTGCATCTCATGTTTTATGTCATGCCACAGCGAGCGTCTGTTCATGAGCGGTTGGCTATAATAGCACGTCCACATGGGCGACAGGGTCGACGAATACGAGTACATTCTATACGAAAACGAGCAAACCGCCTGAGACATCCCCGCAAAATGGCCGCGAACGGGCCCGCGTCCTACCCCCTGGCGGCTCTCCTTACGGATGCTGAAACCAGCGCCCCGCCTGAGACATCCTCCAAATCTGAAGCCAAGGATGTTGGGCACGAAAACGAGCAAACCACCTGAGACATCCCCACAAACTGGCCGCGAACGGGCCCGTGTCCTACCCCCTGGCGGCTCCCCTTAGGGGTGCTGGAACCAGCGCCCCGCCTGAGACATCCTTGCAATCTGCTCTGAAAACCAAGGATGTTGGGCATGAAAACGAGCAAACCGCCTGAGACATCCCCACAAACTTGCCGCGAACGGGCCCGTGAAAACACCCCTGGCGGCTCCCCTTAGGGGTGCTGAAACCAGCGCCCCGCCTGAGACATCCTCGGAATCTGCTCTGAAAGCCAAGGATATTTGGCATGAGAACGAGCAAACCGCTTGAAACATCCCCACAAACTGGCCGCGAACGGGCCCGTGAAAATACCCTTGGCGGTTCCCCTTCGGGGTGCTGAAACCAGCGCCCCGCCTGAGACATCCTCAGAATCTGATCTGAAAGCCAAAGATGTTGGGCATGAACACGAAGAAACCGTTTGAGGCATCCCCACAAACTGGCCGCGAACGGGCCCGTGAAAACACCCCTGGCGGCTCGCCCCTTAGGGGTGCTGAAACCAGCGCCCCGCTTGAGACATTCTCACAATCTGCTTTGAAAACCAAGGATGTTGGGCATGAAAACGAGCAAACCGTTTGAGACATCCCCACAAACTGGCCGCGAATGGGCCCGTGTCCTACCCCCTGGCGGCTCCCCTTAGGGGTGCTGGAACCAGCGCCCCGCCTGAGACATCCTCACAATCTGCTCTGCAAGCCAAGGATGTTGGGCATGAAAACAAGCAAACCGCCTGAGACATCCCCACAAACTGGCCGCGAACGGGCCCGTGAAAACACCCCTGGCGGCTCCCCTGGCGAGTCTGAGTATGAGTAGGTCTGAGTATGAGTAGGTCTCAGTCCGTGCGTTGAGTAATTCACATTACGAGAAGGTCTGAGTATGTGTAGGTCTGAGTATGAGTAAGTCTGTGTATGAGCAGATTCTCTGGAGTCGGCGGCGTCCGAGTAATAACAAGAACCCCATCTTAGGAGATGGGGAAACAACAACAAAACAAAAGACAACGTTTAGGTCCAGCCCTGCCTCAAAAGGGCCCCGAGGCAGTCCGGAATAAAACCCTGCGCGCCGCCGCGCTCGTGCCGGGCAGGCTGGGCTGCGCGGCGGAAGGGCAAGAGGGGGGCGCGGCTCGCGCCGTAAAAGGAGTGCCTGTGGGGATTCAGGAAGAGGTGGCTTGGGACGGGAGGGTCCACTGCATCGTCGCTGACGCATGCTGGGGGTACTCCGTCGGCGGCGAGCCCGGGGGGGGAAGTGAGACGGGGCGGGCCTTAACAGAAGGCTCGGAAGTCCCTGGGCCTTCTGAGAAGTTTTTCGAGCCTTCACCGACGGTTTTGAACATTTATCGGAAGGCCAGAGGGCTTCTGAGACCCCCCGCCGCCTTTTGAGAAGGCCGGAAGGCTTCTTCCTTCTCACGCCCCCTCCTCGGTCGCCACCGATTTGGGGGCACTCTGGTCCTTCTCCTCTTCCCACTGCTGCTGCTGCTGCTGCTGCTGCTGCTGCTGCTGCTGCTCCTGCCCCTCATGATGGGCCTGTTTTCCACCACCACCACCATAAGTTGGAAGGGGAAAGGAAGTGAAGGATGAGTACGAGGAGGAGGAGGATGATGATGATGAGGAGGAGGATGAGGAAGAAGAGGGGGAGGAGGACCCCCTTCCCACTCCAACTTATGGTGGTGGTGGTGGAAAACAGGCCCATCACCTCACGCGGCCTAGCCCAGTTCAGCCTGCCGCGCCCGGACATCGGTGGGGTGGCATGGGCCCCCCGCGCCAGGCCGAGGGGCCTCCGCCGCCTGCGCCGAGTCAGGCGGTTTCCTCTGGGGCCGCCTAAGGCTTCGGAGCGCTCTGCACGCCCCACCCCCCCCTTCGGCCCTCTCGGCCCCTCTCCTTCCCGCCCCTTCCCTCCCTCCTTCTCAGCCTTTCTCCTCTCGGCCCCTCTCCTTCCCCCCCCTCTCGGCCCCTCTCCTTCCCGTCCCATCAACCCCTCCGCCCCTCTCCCTCCCGCTTCTCCCCCTCCTCTCCCTTCTCCCTCCCCCCATTTCGCCTTTTCCCTCCCCTCTGTCGTGGGGTGGGCAATCAGTGATGAGGTCCACCACGAGGTACCGCAACTGATGCTGCACGAAGTTACCCCCCCTGTGGGTTTAGCCCAACATCATGCTGATTCAGGCTGACCTGAACGTGCCAGATATTTTACATGACGAATAGCAGCATATTATGTGTTTTGTCATTCGGTATAACATTTGTCGAACATTATCATGCGGGCCGCAGGAGCGCGGTTCCGCGCGCGCATTTCGAACTAGTTTTGCCGATGGTTTTCGAACCATGCCAAGACAACGTTTTCAAACACGCTTGAAACCCGAACTACATCCCTGAGAAAAAGTTTATAACAAAAATGGCACAGGAATGGAAACCGAAAATATGCTGAATCAGACCAGGCGGGGTCCGTCGCATCAAGTGACATCCGCCTGTCAATGTTACGGAGAAGCGTATCGTCTGCATTGCGCGTTGCATGTCGACCATCCGATTGGTGGGAACGAAACCGCAAGGCAGAATTTGGAACCGCCCACGCCAGCGGCCTTGTGAAGAATTAGCTTAGAAGTGCACCCGGGCATTAAGTGGCGTCCGCCTCCCAATGTTGTCACTGGGCGCGCAAACCAAAGTGTGGCATATCAATGACCTGGCCCATGGTGCACGTCTACGCACGCTGCCAACATTGAAAGGCCAATATCACTTAATCCTTGTTGGGCGTTGCCGTCTGCAGCTCATTCACGATGATCGTCTTGTTGATGTTGTTGTATTTTTTTCCCTGGCAGTGTGCGCCATACATTCTGCATTCCTGCGCGCGCACACGTCGACATCACCCTGCTCAGCGCCATCAGCATCATCATCATCATCATCATCATCATCATCATCATCATCATCATCATCATCATCATCGTCAGCATCATGATTTTTACCGTCACCGTTCTCATCATCTTCATCGTTCCTCCTCCTCATTCCGCCGTCACCGACATCAGCATTACTTGTGCCGTTGTCATCATGACCACCTTCGCCATCACCGTCATCGTGGATGTCGTAGCCCTCGCCGAATTTCTGCGCGCCTGCACTCCCTCACCATGTTCACAATCACCATCCGCATCGTCACAGTTTTCGCCATCGTCGTCGCCAGTTTGAGTTTTGCCCACCAGATGCGGGCGGGAGGCTGGGATGTTTGCGCGAGCATTGGAGTTGACAGTTACAATATCGAGAAGTGGGTCGCACCGCGTAGGTTGCACACCGCAGCTTGCATCACATAGCTTGCACCACATAGTGTATACCACACGGAGTTCACGTACATTGCGCCATGCAGATTGGACTTCTATGTATTGATTTATTTATCTATATAACGGTCCACGACGACCCCCAAGAAGCCGTCATACCCCCAAATATCGTTCCAAAACGTCTCAAGAGGCCTCCAAGAGCACTCCCAAGAAGGCCCCAAGAAGCAACATTCATTGATTTTCTGTGGGTTCGTGGTGGATTTTGGGGTTCTCCGCTTTTCGGCTTCCCGACGCTCCAAGACGGCGGTCTTCCGGGCGTCCGAGACCGCCTGGGAGGCTCCAACATCATCCCACAACCATCCGAAAGGGCTTCCAGGCAGTCCAAGAGAGCCCCAAAGCGACACAACAGGGGTCCACGATGGCCCTAAGAGAGCCCCGGTGGCGGCCCAAGATGGCCCCAAGACGCCCTCCGAAGCGTTACAAATCGTGACCCCGTCGTTCAGGGAGGCCGCGGTTGGAGGCAGGGTGGCGCGTGGAAGCCCACAAAGGCCCCAAGAACACGCCCAGGAGGCCTCTAGAAGGCATTAAAACAACTTGAACATATTTTGTGAGGCCCCCAGGTGCTCTCAAAGGAGTAGCCTCCGCAGAACGAGCTGAGGAGGGTGGAGAATGCGCAGGGTATGGCGAGAACGGGGGGGGAGAAGCATAGAGGAAGGATAAGGATAATTGGTAACATCATTATTGCGGCGTTACTGGAGAAGGCAGCAAGGAATTATCGCTAAATTGTCGGCTTGACCTTTCTGCCATTCCGCTTGCATTCCAAACTTCAAGGACCAAGGTGCATGGCGCGAAGCGCCAGTGCAGTCTTGAACACACACACATACATATATATATATATATATCACATAGAGCGCACACCGTCAGTGGCACATAATGGGCACTAGGAAGAGCGCAGATCGAGACTACAAGAAGCCATGGTGAAGGGCCCTCGCAGGAAAGCACCCAACACATGAATAATGTGAGATTCGCAACAGCGGCGACTTCGAACAAAACCCAGGCGGCTGCACAGACCTATCTGTGTATAGATGTTTACGTATACACACGTATACATTTACATATATACGTATACTTGTATAGGCAACGTGGGCGTCAGCAGCAAAATGCAGTTCGATGGTTTAGAACCCATTGGTGGCCACCAAGTCCAGAATTGCAATAAGCAGTCAAAACTTCTTGCACTGGCCAGAAATACGGCTTCAGGATCTGAGCGCAAGGCTCCAGAGAGACTGCCCCGCGGCAAGGCCCTTGAACGAAGTTGGGACGGGCCAGCAAGCATGCGCACGCGTGCATTAACATGACCGTGGCGACCGCGAGTAAGAAGCTAGATCCAGCATGGTGCTTTCAGCCCCCATTCTCCTCCCCTCAGTCCCCTCGCCTTTCCCTCTCCCTTCCCTGCCCCCTGCCCTCCTGTCCTGCCGCCTCCCCCCTCCGTCTTCTCTTGCCTTCCGCTTCCCGTTCCCGCCCCACCCCCAGCTGAGGGGGAGAGCGCAGGGAGCGGGGCCGGGGAAGGGGACGACGGGGGAGGGGGAGGCGAAGCGGAGGCTTCTCTCCCCCACCCCGCTGCCGCTGCTGCCTGCGCTCTGCGGGCAGCGCCCGCTGCGTATCCGCCGCGCGGCCAGCGAGCGGGGGCGCGGGCCCGCGCCGGCCGGAGCGCGCCCCAGGGGACCCCAGCACTCGGCGGCTGCGATTGGGGCGAATAGCCTTATCGTCGTCGTCCTCCTCCTCCTCCTCCTCCTTCTCCTCCTCCTCCTCCTCCTCCTCCTCCTCCTCCTCCTCCTCCTCCTCCTCCCCCGCACGTCGTCGTCGTCGCCGTCGTCGTCGTGGGGGGGAAGGCGAAGCGGCACCACCACCACACCACCACCACCCACCACCCACCACACCACCACCACACACCACCACCACCCACCACCACCACCACCACCACCACCACCACCACCACACACCACCACCACCACCACCACACCACCACCACCACCACCACCACCACACCACCACCACACCCACCACCACCACCACCAACACCACCACCGCCACCACCTACACCGTCACCCACCGCCACCACCACCACCACCACCACCACCACCACCACCTTCACCACCACCACCACCACGAGGGGTGCCACCCCCAGCGAGGAGGTCCACAATCATTGTGGACCTCCTCCCTGGGGATATGGGACGGCTCTCGAGAGAGGGGGGGATGACACACCACAAGGGGGACCCCCATGGCTCCTCCCGCTGCTGGTCCCTGGTGGTGGTGGTGGAGGTGCCGCTTTTTCTTGTCCCTTTTGCAGGGGGGGGCACTACACGTGTCCGGGGGCCTGGAGAGTCGCCCATGTCTTCGGCGAGGCTCCCCGGCGAGTGGGTCTGGTGCCCGCCCCTGGGTCATTCACCCCTTTGGCCTCCGCCGGGGCATTGCAGCCAGTGCAGTGCGTTTTCGGGGGCCTTCAGCCATCCACCGCAGCGATCCTAGATATCGAGGCTGATTAGTAGGTCGACCCTGCCAAATCTAGGGCACCCTTGTGCCCCGCGTTTCGTTCGCGACCCATGCCTTCCACATTCCTGTGGCAGTGTGGTCCTCGGCAGGGTCTCGTGTCCTCTCGCGTGTCCTCTCCAATCAGCCTCGACTGCAGCTCGCCCAAAGTCGGCGGCGAGCCTTGGGGGGGAAGTGAGAAGGAGAAGACCTTCTCAAAAGGCTCGGAAGACCCCCAGCCTTCTGAGAAGTTTTCTAAGCCTTATCCGAAGACACAACAGAAAGCTTTCAGAAGGCCGTATGGCGCTTCTGAGAAACCCCGCCGCCTTCTGAGAAGGCCTTCGCCTTCTCACACTTCCCCCCTCGCTCGCCGCCAAAGTGGACGTCTCCCGATCCTCGACCCACGAACTCCGATCGTCGATCCTCGGACCTCGACCCTCGGACCTCGACCCTCGAACCTCGAACCTCGGATCTCGGACCTCGAACCTCGATCCTCGATCCTCGATCCTCGATCCTCAATCAGCCTCGACCGTGAGTCGCCCCCGAGGGCGCGAAGCCCACCGCGCCTCGCGCGCGCCGCGGCGAGGGCCAGAGCAGGCGCCGCGCCGCACAGAGGGAGGGCAGCGCGAGGGGCTCGGGGGCACCGAGCACCGCGCGCCGGGCATCTCGGGGTGCGGCGCAAGAATCGGCGGTGAGCGAGGCGAGAAGGAGAAGGCCTTCTCTCAGGCGATCGCAAACATGGATCAAGGGGGCGTGGATTAGCGACGGGACCCGCTTCCATGGGAAATCGCGGATTTCTGCCGCCGAGCGAGGCGGCACCGGCCGCATTTTGGGGAGGGCACCTCCCCCGATCCATGGACTTGGCGACCGCGCGCCAAATCCATGGATCGCTAATCCGTGTTTGCGCGCCCCCGAGATGGGGGGGAAGCGAGACGGAGAAGCCCTTCTCAGAAGGCGGCGGGGCTTCTCAGAAGCCCTCTGGCCTTCCGAGAGGTTTTCTATGTCGTAAGAGAAAGCTTGGAACCTTTCTCCGAAGGCTGGGGGACTTCCGAGCCTTCTGAGCAGGCCCGCCCCTTCCCACTTCCCCCGCCGAAGGAATTCAGGTGGCAGATGCGCTTCCTTGGCTAAGCCAGGGGGGGCGAAAAAGCGATCCTGGGCCCAGGATGGTCCTGGTCAGGATCGGTTAGGTGGATGGTTGACGCCCCCCGAAAGAACACCTCCAGCCATACGACGCTAAGGTGTTCACTCGTCAGACGCTGCCGCTGAAATCTCGGCAGTTGGTGCATTTGATTCTTGTTCGGCCGCGAGAGTCAAAAACTACTTCCTGCTGCTCTGCTTGAGGCTGTGCTGCTGCTAAGCTGACCCGCCAGGGGGAAGGACACGTGTGCTCACTCATGAGGTTACGTAGATATGTGGCCATCGCCGAGGATATCATGGAAGTTATCAAAACTAGTCTTGGGAGTCTGTCCTTCGGGTTCTCATGAATCTGCGCAGTCTCTACGTATCCTCTGGCAGCTCTCCCACATCCACGAGGATCTGAACACAACGTGTTGTCACACGCAACTTGCATAGAGGTTGCTGGATTCTTGACTATTCTAGACTCGGCGCCATGATTGACGAATGCTTTGATCCGGCATGCCGCACATTACCACACCAGGGGGCAATATGTCCCCACCCCTGTGCTCAACGTTCAACGTCTGCTGGGCTGTGGCGACGTGCCGTGCGCAGGTGCGCATCTTTCATTCCTGTCACGTCCTGTGCTTTCGAAGCGTTGCTTCAATGTCTGGGAAGGAGTGGGCTGACAATCGATTGACGGACGAGGGGTACGACACCACGAATTCTTGATGGCTAGTACACCCGATCTCGATATCACATTGCGGCCACATGATAACGGGGACACCGTTTCGGATGACATTGCAGCCTGTCCTCATTTTCCAGACCTCATGGGATAACTTGTCTTTTTATCTAAGACGCTTTCGGCGAATCACCGCCGCTCCTCGCCCTTGTGGAAACGCCAGGCAGTTGTGGCCGATGATCGAAGTGAAACTCGTTCTACTGTGGTTGAATTGTGCTTATCCCAAGTGCCGTCGGGACTGGAGGGGTCGCGCGGGGTCCAGTGTGAAGGGCCCTCTTGGGTCCTTTTGGGTGTTGTTTGGGGACCTCAGGGCTTTATCGTGGGCCTCCTGAGGCGCACGTGGGGCGTGGCAGGCACTTGTAGAGTTTGAGTCACGCCTAATCGAGTCTTGTTGTCACCACGATCAGCAGCCCACATGAAGCAACAGTTCCGTCAACAACGTGTGCCTGTTGCCGTCGCCAGGTGGCGCTGGAATGCGATGATGATCTACATGTGAAATCATGTGTATCCAACTTCTTCTCCAATACATACTGCGTCAATGATGGGAGGTACGGGGTGACGGGTGACCTTGGAAAGACCATCTTTCCCGTTCGCTTCGTACATTCCGTTGTCGTGTTGGCTCCGTGCATTGGTATTTTTGTGGCCATTTTAGGAGGTTCGTGAGCTTCTGGAGGAGCTCTCTGAAGCCGTCTTCAGGCTGTCTCAGGATGTTATCGGGCCATCTTGGATTGCCTGGCGGATTTCCAGAGCTCCTAGGAAGCAATCGATAAGTGGGGCCGTCTTGGAGGCCATCTTGGGGTCACCGTGTCTGACTTGGAAGGCTGTGCCATGTTGTTTTTGTGGGTGGATGGGGGGCGTCATGCGTGTTATGTGGGTACTTGGCTCCAGTTCGGTTTCGCCCCCGCGTTTTTGAGTTCGTTTTCTGGTATTCGGAGAGGCGAGAGCGAGAGAGAGAGAGAGAGAGATAGAGAGAGAGAGATAGAGAAAGCGAGAGAGAGAGAGAGAGAGAAAGAGAGCGAGAGGGGAAATAGAGAGAGAGAGATACATAGAGAGAGAGAGAGAGAGTGAGAGAGAAAGGAGATAGAGAGAGAGGGGGAGAGAGCGATAGAGAGGGAGAGGGAGAGGGAGCGCGATCTATATATATATATATATAGAGAGAGAGAGAGAGAGAGCGAGAGAGAGAGAGAGAGAAATAAAGAAAGAAAGAGAGAGAGAGAGAAGAGAGAGAGAGGAGGGGAGAGAGTAGAGAGCGATAAAACATTGCCCTTCCAAGATCTGCTTCAGGAGCGTTTTTCGAGATTTCTCTTCGTCTCCTCGCCTCCCCGTGGCCTCTCTTATCCTCATCCTCTGTCTCCTCATCCTCGCCAACGTCGTCATCCTCCTGACCAGTCTCACCTTCCGCAGGATTCCTCCTCCTCCACCTTTTTTACGTGGCGGGTTCACAACCACACTCCTTCTGTAGCTTTTTATGCTGCGTTATGGGTAATTTGCGTATCGATTCCTTGTGCGGGCGGTACAATACCCAAACGTCATCAGGCGCAACACACAACAATTTCAATAGGTACCCACTCCACCGTTCCACTGCTCCACTGTCTCCCCCTCTCCTCGTTCCACCCCCTTGCCCCGCTTCCCCGCCTCCCCGCCTTTCTCTCCTCCTCCTCCTCCTCCTCTTCAACAAGTACACAACATGAAAACTACTCATCTCTCTCCTGATGACGTCCGGAAGATATCCGTCCCCCCTCCGCGTATTGTTTTTTACACCGGATTCCCGGGAACTGGGTTTTCGTTGGGTTTTTTCTTTCAGAGTGTTGTTCCCGATAAGGCGTTGGCCTCATTTTCGGGCTTCCGCTCGTTCCGAATCGTGCTCCTGTTGCAGCGCTGGCGTCATTACTTCCAGTGCCATGCCACGGCATGATTTTCGGTCCTTAAAATAGGCCCCAAAATTTTGAAAATGCCCCCCGACAAAACCATCGAAAGTGATTACACATTCGGTGTCGATTCGCTGATCTTTTGGACCGCAGAAGCCCCCTACTTTGGGGCGTCGCCACGCCATGCTATGTCATGCTACGCGGTGATCTTCAACACCATGCTATGCCATGTGATGCTATGCCATGCTGCGACATCCGACTGTGCGAATAGAGAGGGTCGACGCCATGGTAAGGGATGGGAGGGAGGGGTAGGACGTCAGATCTGACGCGAGCGCACCTAGCTTGGTCTCCTCCTCCTCACCCCTCACTCCTCACTTATTACTCATCACGCCTCACTCCTCCTTTTCTTCCTCTTCCGACTTTTCATCCTCCTCCTGCTCCCCCTCCCCCCCATCCCTGCCCTCCCCCGCCTCCTCGCCTTCCGTCATCCCTGCTGCGCCCTCCTTCCTCCTCCCTCCCCTCCTCCCCTGAGAAGGAGGAGGAGCGAGGCGTGAGGAGGAGGACGAGGAGTAGGGGGATGGGGGAGGAGGAGGAGGAGGAGGAGGAGGATAGTAATAAGAGCCAAGTTTGCCAGGGCGAGCGAGTCAGAGGGCCCCGCCTACTCACACGCTCCTTCTCCCACCTTGATCTTGGGATTTGAACGCCTCACCTCGCAAACGGAAGGAACTCGTGCGCGGTCCCGCTTCCAACGACTTGACTTGGCGAAGAGAAAACTATGCGGACCGCGCAGGGGCGGGATCGGCAAATCTTCCGATGGGTGCGGCGAAGACGAAACATGCGCAGCGTTCACACAGCATTGCCGCTTTCACTCACAGACTGCGCGGCGTTTGGGCGAGGTCGGCATTTTGCCCGCTCTCGCGCGGCCCCGCTGCCGTTGTGGCTTCCATGCGCATCGGCGAACAAACCATGCGCCGCGCCCGCGCTGGAACGCCATGTCCGAGCCAATTGCGCACGGAAATTGGGCGAGGGCGACAAGTTTCCCATTCGCGCGGCCCCCCCAAACTTGGCGAGTGACAGACATGCGTTGCGTCGAGACGGGATGGCCACTTTCAGGCGAGATGTGCGCGGCGTAGCGGCGTGTTCGTCCGCTCGCGCTTCGACGAACATGCGTGCGACAAATGTCCGCCGCGCCAGGGCGGGAGTTCAATCTTCTAGGAAAGTGAGTGCGCCGCCGAGATGAGAGCGACATTCCGGCCTGTCGCGCGGGATATGCGCCCCGTCCCATTCTTGCCACACATTTTGCAACATGGACGACGTAATGTCGCTGAGACGAAACGCGTAGACTTTGTATAGTGTTTGGCAGGTAGGACTGAAGGGCCCAGATTGGGTCGCTATCGGTCGGCTATGTGGCAGAGTGTGCGTAGATAGTAATAAGGAATAGTGATCGACAGAGGAGGAACACAGGAGGAGAAGGAGGAGGAGGAGTGAAAGGCTGGGAAGCGGGGGGAACGGGGGCGGAACGAGGAGAGCAGGGGACGGTGGAGCAGTGGAGCGGTGGAGTGCGTAAGTATCGAAACAGCTGTTGTGTTGTTTCCTTGCTTTGTTTGTTGCTTTTGTTTCAGTTTTGGGTATCTGGTATATTGGCTGTTTGCTTTCCTATTACTTTCGGGGGCTTTCCACCGCCCGCATACGGAATCGACATGCAATTCACCCACAGCCGAATCGATTGCCACTCCACGCAGGCGGAATCCTACAGTATATCCTCTACGGAAGGAGTGCGTTTGTGAACCCGCCGCAGAATTGCAGGAGGAGGAGGAGGGAAATTCCGCGGAATATGAGACTGAGCAGGACGAGGACGACGCTGGCGAGGATGAGGAGACAGAGGATGAGGATGAGAGAGGAGGCCACGAGGAGGCGAGGAGACGAAGAGGAATCGCCGAAAAACGCTTCTGAGGTTGATCTTCTGGGTAGGGGACGCTCCAACCCCTTCTCTCTCCTCTCCTCTCCTCTCCTCTCCTCTCCTCTCCTCTCCTCTCCTCTCCTCTCCTCTCCTCTCCTCTCCTCTCCTCTCCTCTCCTCTCCTCTCCTCCCTCTCCTCTCCTCTCCTCTCCTCTCCTCTCCTCTCCTCTCCTCTCCTCTCCTCTCTCTCTCCTCTCCTCTCTTCTCTCTCCTCTCTCTCTCCTCTCCTCTCTCCTCTCTCCTCTCTCCTCTCTCTCTCCTCTCCTCTCTCTCTCTCCTCTCTCTCTCTCCTCTCCTCTCTCTCCTCTCTCTCCCTCCCTCTCTCTCCTCTCCTCTCCTCTCCTCTCCTCTCCTCTCCTCTCCTCTCCTCTCTTTCTTTCTTTCTTTCTTTATTTCTTCATTTCTTTCTCATTTTTTTTTTTTGTGTTTTTTGTTCTCTCTCTCTCTCTCTCTCTCTCTCTCCCTTCTCCGCTTACCAGCAAACAAACTCAAAAACGCGGGGGGTGGGGGGTGGGCGGGACGAAACCAGTTTGAAACAGTTTTTGGGTGCGCCTTGCGGGGGCTTCACGTCGGCTGCCAGGGTGGCGGCGCGAGAGGCCCAATGCCGCAGGACCCTCGTGAAGGCCTCTACAGTGGAGGCCAGTCCACAAGAAACCTTCCACAAGAAACCCAACCCTGAGACCCCAAGACGTCCACTGATTTTTGGTATGGGAGGGTCGCGCTTTTCACAGCAAAATAATATAAAC